TTTTGGGGGGGGGGGGTGTTGCACATATAAGTGAAATCATATTGTATTTGTCTTTGACTTATTTCACTCAGCATAATACCTACTGTCTAAGTCTGTCCATGTTGTCGCAAATGGCAAGATTTATTCCATATGAGTAATATATTCTATTGTGTATATGTTCCACTGTATCCATTCATCTGTTAATGGGCCCTTAGGTTGCTTCCAGATCTTGGTGTCTGTAAATAGTGCTGCAGTGAACGTAAGGTGCAAATAGCTTTTTGAATTAGTGTTCGTTTTCTTTGGAAAATGCCCAACGTGGGATTGCTGGGTGATATGGTAGTTTTTGGAAGAGCCTACATACTGTTTTCCATAGTCGCTACACCAGTCTGCATTCCCACCATCTGTGCAGGAGCTGTCCCTTTTCTCCGCACCCTCACCTGATCCTGTTTGTTGGCTTGCTGATGATGGTCCTTCCGACAGGTGAATTGCTCAGCAATTCGGCAGGTTCATAGGTAGGCTACTTCCTTTCGCCCCAGTAGGTGGTGCCATGGCCTAAGTTCCCGTTTTCTCTGATCTGCTCTCCTCGCGCCTCTGGAATTGCGGTGGACGGTGATGCCCGAAAGTGCCGCGGTGCTGGGCGCCCCCTGCGTGACCCGCGGGCCTCGGTCACCCACCACCGTCCCAGTGGTGGGCAGTGTGTCGCACGGTGGAGGACTGGTTTTGCGAGTTCCCGGAACTCCCTCCTTTTCCCCCTGTGCTTTTGGCTTTTCCTGGCTCTGCGGGGTGTGTGGAGGAGAGGAGGCAAGTTCTCGATCTCAAGTCTCAGCCCGCTTTCCAGTTATGGCTGTTGGCAGGGCTGTGTGTTTGCAGCTTCCCAGCCACCTCTACCGGGTTCTGCAGCCATGGGGAGTGGGGAGGGGAGATGCCTTTTCCGTGAGGCAAACTGCGTCCGCCCCTTACCTTCCAGGCGGTAGTGTGGGTTTTAGGAAGTGCATGAGGAGGGACCAAAATGAGTGGTATAGGCTAGGTAGCCCCGGAGAGCCCTGTGATCAGGTATGTTATTTGTTTTTTAAAAAATATATCTTTATTGATTTCAGGGAGTGGAAGGGGGAGAGAGAGAGAAACATGAGTGATGAGAGAGTCGTCATTGACCGGCTGCCTTCTGCACACCCCATACAGGAGATTGAGCCCACAACCCAAACGTGTTCCCTGACCAGGAATCGAACCACGATCTCCTGGATCCTAGGTCGATGCTCAACCGCTGAGCCACTCCCGGCTGGTCCCGGGTATGTTATTAGTCTCCAAAGATTTTATAGAACATTCTTGAGGGATTTTGTTAGACCCATCTAGAGGGCTTTGGGCTTTTAGAACATATCTACCCTGATATCTCATTGTGTTCTTTCTCTCTCTCTCTCTGTCTCTCTCTGTCTCTCTCTCTCTCTTTCTTTCTCCCCCTCCCTCCCAGGAATGAGCCATTATACAGAAGTGTATAACAGGTGTTTTGGGAAAAAAGGTTAACAAAACCCTAACTACCTGAAATTGAATTGGATTCAAGCATGATCTTAAAGGTGGTGAAATGGAGAAAGGACACCTTAGATAGGGAATAGAGTTGATAGGCAAAAACATGGAGACCAGAATATGTGTATGTCTGGGGGGGACGCTAAGGATAGCTGAATTATAAAAGACTGTAAAATACAGAGCGGAAGAGTAGAATGCATCTTATCACTGTAAAGGTTTTTACTTAGGTGTCTAATAATAAAGTGTCATTTCTGAAGAATGATTACCCTTAGATATGGAAGAAAACATTTAGTTGTGGTAATCAGAACCTGGCAAGGAAGTAGCTTTGGGAATAGATGACAGACTGTTGAAGGAAAAACTCAACAGAATGTGCTTAAGGACTGCACGTTAAAGAATGAAAGTGGGAGACTACTTAAATGAATTTAAATTAACTTGGGATATTGACAGGAATGGGAAAATGGACCAGCTAACCTTTAGAAGGAGGAGGATGGGAAGGAGGTGAGTTTAGTTTTGAACATACTGTGTCTGATTGTCTGTCAGGTATACATAAAAATAGTTTGTAGCCAATGAGAAATACTAGACTTGGTTGAAAAGTCAAAACTGGGGCAAGGAGGGGAAGGGCGAGAAAGAACAACTTTATAGTGAGCAGAGGAATCATTGAAACTATGAGGGTGAATTAACTGTTAGTGTTTAAAATTCTGGTTTTATTTATTTTCATGTAGACCATGGATTCTTATGATACACCAGAATCAACTCCCAGACGAATTGCATCCTCAAGGCTTAAAGATCACTTTATAGGTGCCACCCCTCTGCAGAAGCGGTTAGAATCAGTCAGGAAGCAGACTTCATTTGTCCCGCCTTCACCTCAGAGGAAAATTCCCCAATGTTCACAGTTGCAGGTATGCTTTTTGTGTTCCTTTGTGTTACTCAATAATTGAGAACAGATGTGAACAAAACATATCAATTTTGGTTACTATTTCTCGTATTTTTAGTATTTTCTCAATTCCCCAGGTAATTAATAAAATAAATGAGGAACAGCAAATAGAAACAGTTATTCACACTGTTAGTATCTCCTTTGTTATGTCTTTTAGACCCCTTTAATCTGGAACATTGCCATAATATTTCTTTGTCTTTTATGACATTGACATATTTGAAGAGTATGGTTCCCTTCTCTCCCCTTTTAAAATAGAATATGCTTCCTTTTCTACTTGATGTTTCCTCATGATTAGGTTGAAGTTGTGTCTTCTTGGCTGGGATACTATATAGGTGCTATTGTGTCGTTGGGAATGACACCTGGTACCACATAGGTAATATTAATGTTGATCACCTTGTCAAGGTGTTACCTAGTAATTACTGTTTTAGTCCCCTCTACAACTAACAAGCAGCCTGTGGGGAGACCCTTTAAGACAACGCAGGTATGTTCCTAGTTGGAATTTCCCCATAGACTTAACATTCATCGATCATTTTTGCCTGACCCCATCTTTATCCTGATGGTTGCAAAATAATGATTTTCCATCTCCACTTACTCCATGTTTGCCAGCTGGCTTTGGCATTCTACTTTAAGCTCTTCTCATTTCTCCTCCATTTACTTATTTATTAATAGGAACTCATGAATTCCTGTTTTAAATTTTTGTAATTCATTACCAAGTTATTTTGGTGTTTAAATTGGCCCAGATCTATCTGGTGGCATCATGCTCTGTTTTGATCATTCGTACACGACTCCAAAGGTATGAAATATTAGTAATTTGTAATTTCACTGAAACATGAAATAAAGCCCTAGGCAATACAAACTTGGTGTGTGGTTTTGAGTCACTTAGCAAGGAGCCTGGCTGATCAGTCACCTCAGACCTTCCTTGTAGCTTTGTTTTCTTGTTAGTGTGTGCACAGTATATTTTGGGATATGAGAAAATTTTTGCTTCTTTGTGAAAACTTTCTTAAAGAAAAATACTAGTGCTGGTAATGAAAGTAATGGTTCCTAACTAGTGAAATGAAACTGTATATAAATTAAAGTTTGGAATGTCCAATTCAGTACTCTCTTTATGTATACGATACAAATAATTTTGCCGTACCTTTTGATAGTAATAAGAAAAAAAATTTATAACTTTTATATAAAAGTTTATAA